CTCAAAATACGATACATACCCTCGCTCCTAGCTTCCCCCCCCCCCCACCCCACAAACTCAATTTATAAATGAATCACTCCCTATATTTTTCCAGCCTCTAAAAGTCTAAAAGGATGTTATGGCGAGAAAAACGTGAATAGAGTTTATTTAGATAAGAGAAAACTGTTACCCTTACTTAATCTTTTCTTTTTGGAAAAATTGATATAAATACTCTCAGAAATTCGAAATTTTACAATAATACTCCCAAATTTAATAAAAGACTCTAGTACTCCCAATTAAACTATAAGTTTACATTACTACTCTCATTATGCTTAATCATCTTTTCTTAAGCTTACATGTAAGTAATTATGCTTAGTTGACATCTTAATTTTTTTTATTTTAATAAGAGGAAAAAATTATATAAATACTCCCTGAAATTCAAAATTTACAATAAAACTCTCAAAACCAAATAAAGACTCCAGTACTCTAGAAAATATCTTATTTTACGTGTTACGATGTTTCATAAAAGTGGTGTGAAATCAAAAAAATAAATAATATATCTAAAAACTACATCATAAGATTTATAAAACTAATAATGATATAATTTTATTATTTTATCAAGTACTCCGTATATAATTAAAATAGGTAAGCAAAGTAAATAAAATTTGATCTTGTAACTACTCTTAACAGTGGATGGGAAGATAATTTTTGGACGGAGGGGGTATTTTGTATTACTATATTAGTTTTTTAAAGGGAGTATTTTTTAGAGTCACACCACTTTTATGAAACATTGTAACATGTAAAAGGAAGATATTTTTTTAGAATACTGGAGTCTTTATTTGGTTTTGAGAGTTTTATTGTAAAATCTTGAATTTTAGAGAGTATTTATAGAATTTTTTCCTCTTATTAAAACAAAAAAACAACTAAGATGTCAACTAAGCATAATTACTTGCATATAAGCGAAAGAAAAGCTGTTTAGGCACAATGGGAGTAGTAATGTAAACTTATAGTTTAATTGGGAGCACCAGAGTCTTTTATTAAATTTGGGAGTATTATCGTAAAATTTTGAATTTCTGGAAGTATTTATATCAATTTTTCCTTTCTTTTTTATTACAATTCTACAAACTTTCTTCTCTCCATAACTTTTATTTATTTGTATGATTTTCAATGTCATTTCTTATTTTGTAAAACTTTGAACGTAATTTTTTTATATATGAATTTTATTTCTTAATGATGTACCAATTTATAAATAAAATGATTTAAAAAATTGTAAGATTTTTTATTGTCATTCTTGTTTTGTAATCAAAATATGGACGGATGCGCTATACTTTTTCTTTTTTTGAGGGGATCGATAATTTTCTGGATGCCGTGTGGGGCTCCAGTTTGCTTATTTAGATGTATGGGACATCATTGCTTTCCGCTGCTGCTAAAGTGTGCACATTCATTCGCCTAATGTCAAAGAAAATAATCACACACTTTATAAACTTACCATTTTTTATTTAAATTCTCGTATAAAATTATTTAAGCCTATATAATTTTTCTATTGAAGTTTACAAATAAAAAGTTTGTGAAATTTATGACCATTTTATTTGTGACCCAAATATTTCTTTTCGCACCTAATAGCTTCTACACTCCTGTGCTTTAAAAATAGACACCAATATCTCATCTGTTTTCAAAAATTATTTATACAATTTTTAGGAAAAAATATTAAAATAAAAGTAAAATATTCAAAATATACTGAAATATGAGATTCATGTTTTTGTTCCCAAAATATGAGTTAAAATACGTTTACAGTGTCAATCATGGCTGCATACATTACTAAAAATTATTGTGAAATATTCATGTATAGTGTCACATGAAGTTATATGTGCAACATTTAAAAGTAAAACATAGAAAAAATATTGAAGTAGGAGCATCATGTTTTTATCTCCAAAATAGAAGGACAATGACAATAATGCTAATATATAGTATCAAAAAATAGAGTAAAATGTCACTATAAAAGGTCATAATATCACAATGCAAATTCCTGTTTTAAAGATAAAAATATAAAATTCCTATTCTGAGGATAAATGACACGGAATACATTTTACTTGTATTTGTGGTGATTTTTTTCCTAAACCACATGGACTGTTGGAACTATTATGCCAAGATCCATTTATGTACGTATTTATTCCACACGCATGGGCAACGGGCCAGGTCTGATCCAAGCCTACATGGCCTTTTTTTATATCCCTAAAATACTCCTTTGATTGATCTCATTTTAGTTTACCACCAAGAATATTTAACTACAATTATTTTAAATTCAATTGTGTAATATTAATATACCGAGTAAAATTTAAGAAGTAAATATAAATATTTTAAACATAACTTATAACTTTTACGGAACATGAAATACTCCATAAAAAGCAATATAACTACGTTGTATTTGATTATAACAAACATATAAAAAGTAAAAAAATTACCCTAAATATAAGTAAAAAAAGTACTAAAATAGAAGTTGTAAGTAGGAAAAAAAATGTAATTTTGCCTTATAAATGATCAAAATATCAATACTAGATTCATGACCATACGATGAGATATAAAGTTTGTCATGTTTAAGTCATTGAAGTGATATTACTAATTCATGTCAAAGCGTTCATACCTTATAATCCTTTTATATATATATATATATATATATATATATATATATATATATATATATATATATATATATATATATAAGGATTTCTAGCTTACAGTATTGTTATACTATACAGGGGCGGATCTAAATGTATGAATACGAGGGCAGTCGCCCCTAGTCAATTTTTTTACTCCATAATATACAGTATTAAAATAATTTTTTCGTAGAGAATTAAAAGAACGACCCGATAAAAAATTAGTTTGCCCCCACTGTCAAAAAAAAATCTTAGTTTAATAATAAAAAGTAATCACTTAAAAACATATACAGATAAAATATTTGGAATATCATAATTATATTATGTTATATTATATTTTATATTTTATTTTTCTACTTTAAAAGTATTTTTTTTATTTGAATACTTGTTTGAAATTGAATTAATTTCTTTTTTATCATTGTCTAACGCTTTAAAAAAATCGGGAGTGTCACCCCTGAACTCCACCATATTCTTTAGTGCGTATTTGCCCGAGTCATATTTTTTTCTGGATCCGTCACTGATACTATACATATACTATACATATACTATACATAATTGTTTTATCCTAATTTCATAAATAATAATTGACATCCATCTCGAGTATCGTTTGGGACTGGTTTTTTATTAGAAGATTAATTGGAAGTGTATGTAGGTGGTTTTATTCAAGGAGCTAGCTAGCTAGCTAGGTTGAATTGAGAGCTTAAGCGGAGCAGGAAGAATGTGAACGAGAAAATGCCAGCGCCTATCTTTCTATATGATATGATATGAACACCCACCCTACCTTTCACGCTTTCATAATAATATGTTTAATACGGAGTATATGAAAATTCAACTTTTGGTTTTTTTTACTTCTTCCGTTCCTAAATTATTTGCACACTTTGCTATTCAAAAATCACGAGAATTTTTGTTTATTTTGTGCGATTGCATTGACTATTTGATAAAATAAAATATTCTTGTCGCCTCTTTTTGCTTTTGTAGAACTTTTGATGTACTCTTTAAATATGTAAGTTTTATTTTTTATTTAAATATATACCAATCTTTAAACAAAATAAATTAAAAAATTTGAGATTTTATTTCGTTTTGCATAAAGGGTAAATATGAAAATACTTAATACAAAATATGATTTTTAATATCAAAACATACTTAATACAAAAAATAAAATGTCAACCGAATTTCAAATTGTGTGTGTTTTGTAGTATTAAATTGTGAGCTGTTTCAAAAAAAAAATTGTGAGCGTTTCGCAGTATCAATATCTCGTAAACAACAAAATGCCAAATGAATTGGACAGAGAGTTTACTATTAAAGCACTTCATTTGCGATCAAGAAGGTTGCCATGGAAGCAAAGTGTGTACCTAGGTTGCGGTCAACATATAATACTCCTCCGTCCCGTGTTTTAAATCGCCTGTTTTGATTTTTGGCTATATTTAAGAAAAAGAAAAAATAGAGTTAATTTTTAAAAATTGCTATTACTTTTTAGGAAGGGTGACGATAAATGAGAAGATAATGTGAAGAAGAGTGACTTACTTTAAGGGTAGTTTAGGTATTTTATTTTTAAAAGTTTACGAAAACAACTAACATGCAATTTATTTTGGGACGGGGAAAAAAGGCAAACATGTAATTTAAAATGAGACAGAGAGAGTAATAGTCTTTTTTTATATAGAAATCAAACTAAATAAGAATAAAACATAGAAAAAGTATCAAAACATTATGTTTTTATCTTCAAAATAGAAATTGACACTATGATAATATGACACTGTATATGAAGATTCTACAATACTTTTTGACATTGCACATTGGCATGATTGATATTGTATATACATTTTAAATCTTATTTTGAAAATAAATACACGAAACCTCTATTTTAGTACTCCTTCTGTTTCTTAAAATGCTCCCCCTTTCATTTTTTTCTCTTTCTCCAGAACACTTCTACTTTCTATTAAAAATCACTTTTACCTCTATCTTTTCAAACTCTACCTATCACATCATATTTTTTCACTAATAACATATTCATCACATTTACTTACTCATCATATTAAGGACAAAATTGGAATGTCAACCATAAATATACATTCCTTATTTTGGCTAAAAATCAAAATAAGAATGATTTATTGAAACGGATGGAGTATATTAGGTATATTTTACCCCTACTTTAGTATTTTTCCATTTTTCCTTGGGGTAAAGCCGGCTAACCCACATGGGTAATCCAATGCTTTGCACATCATCTGTGTGATTTGTGTGAAACATAGGGTCACCTATGTAGGGTTGCCCTGGGTCACCTATGTAGGGTTGCCCTAGCACGGTTCTTTTAACCGGAGTGAAAAGCTACTCATTATAGAATTGGGATTGAGTGTATTTTGTTTTGTAAGAATGAAGACAAATTAACAAGTCAACTCCTATATCTTTGTTTTATTGTGTTAATCACTCAGAGCTTGTTTGGGAGTGATTAACTTCTTGATAAAGTGATTTCTACAAAAGCTGAAAGCAAAAGCACCTCATATCAGCTTCTCTAAAACGGTGTTCTGTGTATAAAATAGTGGTGGTGAAAAGCAGAAGCTGCTGACATGCCAGACAGAATAAAATCACTTCCACTTAAAGCAGAAGCTAAATTATTAAAAGCAGCGCACTGCCAAACACCCTCTCAGGGGCGGCCAGGGCTATTCTGATTTTATTTCGTGCTTGTTCCCCGTCTGCACCCCACCCCCCCCCCCCCCGGACAAAAAGAAAGA